AAACAACCACTATGTTCAAATATTGTAAGGGTAAGGGGGACTCGTCCTCCCCCCCCCCCCCCCGAAAATTCGAAAAAAAATCAGAAACTATGTATAGCAAATACTGACTAAAGACTATAAAAGAAATTGCCCGGCGGCCGGCCGATGATCGGTGGGGCTCCAAAATGAGCAGGCGCCGCCCGAATTTCAAAGGGATAGTGCATCTTTTGCAGAGGGCGCTACACAAAATAATTTGTTTGTGAGATAATGAAAAACTGAGTGTCAAATTTGAAAGAACATAATATTTCAATCACAAATTATCTTTCTTTGATCAAAATCGGTTCAGAGACGGCTGAAATGTAACGATTTCTAATACTTGTGTACCACCACAAATAATAGATATTTTGAAAAATTTGAAAAAACCGTTGAAAAAACAAAATTTGGCATTTTCGTGTTGCTTATGTTACCCACAATTAACCGGCTCATGTATTGTTATGTCTGCCATTACAGTGGATAAAGGATTATTTAAAAGGATTATTTAAAGGAAAGAAAACAATATGTTGTTTATGATAATGCAACTTCATTTGAAAAAGAACTTGTATGCGGAGTGCCCCAAGGGTCAATAATCGGGCCACTGTTGTTTATTCTATATATAAACGATTTGCCAAATGTTTCCTCAACTTTGTCATACATTATTTTTGCAGACGATACCAATATCCCTTTAAGCGAGAAGAAACTAGATACTCTTGTCCATAATATGAATAAAGAAATACAAAAGGTTAATATTTGGTACAAAGTGAATGGGTTAAGGATAAACATTGAGAAAACAAATTTTATGCATTTTGCACCATTTAATAAACAATATGATAAGAACTTACTTACTCTTAAGTTTGTTGATTCACTAGAGCCCTTAAAGCAAGTGCATAGTGCCCGCTTCTTAGGAGTTAATATTGATGACAAGTTATCATGGTCTTTACATATTAATGATATTGCATTGAAGATCTCGAGAATTACTGGAGTTATGTCAAAACTGAAATTTGTATTACCGTCAAAAGTACTGCTTTTACTATACAATTCATTAATTCTACCCCATTTACAATATGGGAATATGCTATGGATAAATGCATCAAATACCTTGTTAAATCGTTTACATTTGTTGCAAAAACGTGTAATACGCATAGTTGCCAAGTCTCATTATTTGGCCCATACCAACAATATCTTTAAACAATTAAGGGTTTTGACTGTATATGAATTAGCTAAATTACAACTGGGAGAATTTATGTACAGGTCTGAAAAGGGACTATTACCAAACTCTCTTCAAAACTGGTTTAGATGCAACAATGATGTACATTGTTATAACACCCGAAACTCCAAGAATTTGCATAGCATTTATTACAGAACTGCTACTGGCCAAAGAAGTGTTAAGTACCAGGGTTACCTTACATGGTCTGCTTTAGATGACAGCCTCAAACAATCCGCATCATTACGACAATTTAAATTTAAATATAAAAAATACCTCTGCAATTCTAAATAGTCATATCAATCTAAAAAATAATTATTATTATGTTTCAAATCGCAATTATGTTTTCATCGGGTCAATTTAATCTAATTATAAAACCAGACATGTGAAGGGAGAGTCCACCCTGAGGATGGGTTTACTCCGCCTTTACTTGGCCACACACATTCTCAGGGTGGACTTCCCCTTCATTGCTACCGGGGCTAGACTCGACAAGCTTCGCTTTTTCTAGCCCCATCTACATTACTCACCTTTTTATGTTTTAATGTTGATGTTTGTTAACTGATGTAGATTTTCATTGTTCGTTTATGCTTATGTATCTGTTTTTCATTTGCTCTATGTGTCAAATGTATAAAATGTATTTTCTTATCTTGTATATTCTTCTGGTTTTTAATGTGGAAAATAAATGAAATGAAATGAAATGAAATAATCAATTAACGGTCACCGTGCTTTTTTTTTAAAGTGGAGCTGAATTGGTATAATCGTATTGGCTAAATTTTACACATTTTGGGTTCTAAAATTACCTTCATAGCAAGTTTAGGTTCTAAAAGGGCACTATAAATGTCATAGATAAGAATAAGAGCAATAGCCATGCACTATGAACGCATTTGCGGTCTGAAACAGAACTCACCTATCCCTTTAACTCCGCGCTAAGACTTCAGCAGCGACCGTGCGATGCCTTTAAAACAAGCGGTGCCCGAGCAAAATTGGCTCAAAACTCGCCGCCCGTCTGCCGAGCAGGCTACTTTTAGGTGTTGTGACCATATCTTTTGATTAATACATAAACGAAAAAGTTTCTCGATCGGTCGCTACGCTCCCTCGCATAATATCATTCAAAATGTACAAGTATTGTAGAAAATCTGTATTCCATTGGTATCAGGTGAGTATACAGTTTACGCTATGCCCCCTCGCCTCTCGTATTTCGCCCCTCCCCCCCCCCCCCCCCATGAAAAGAAATTGCCGCCCCTGTCTAGGCCTATATATGGTATTGGTAAATAAATAAAAGCTGCTCTGACATTTTCTACATGATATTGCGCAACATCTGCCTGGGGAAATCCAACATAACCGGGTATTGCGAAATAATAACAAGCGTTCACATACAATTTGTAAAATGCCATTGTTGCATATTTTACACACCTAGCCCCCCCCCCCACACACACACACACACGCATATCTTCTCTCTATATATCTCCCACACTCACACATACACACCTCTTCTCTCTCTCTCTCTCTCTCTCTCTCTCTCAAACACACACATACACGCACGCACACATCACACACACACATGTTATATTTCTCTATCTCATACATATACACCTCTTTTCTTTCTCTCTCTCTCACCAACACATACACACCTATTCTCTCTATATCTCCCCCTCTCTCATATATACACACACGTACATGAACATGAACTAAAACCTCATGATTTAAGACTTACAATACAATAACTACAATAAAGTCTACACATTGGTTTTAAAATAACTTAATTAGTTGATAAGTGATAAGTATAACGTCTCTATTATGACAACGGAAAGCTGTGATGCACTATATATAAAGTGATGTCATATTTTATCTAGCAGTTGGCAAACAATTAACAAATCTTGTTCACAATCATTTGCAAACACTTGCTTGCATTCCAATGTGTAATATATTACCTCTGATCTTTAATAGGATTATGGTCAAACATATCAGTAATATTTATGCGACAGTCGCCGAAATTATACCCCAAAAAAGGATTTGTTCATATTGTTAAGAAAATATATGACACGTACAATAATTGTAGTTTACTAACTGATAATCAAATAATATACTTTTTTATTTATTTACTCGTTAAGTATATCTGTAATGCACTTATAGTTAACGCAAGCAGTATTATACATTTGACCCACCCCGCCCCGGTCCGATTGGCAGCACTAAATGCGAAATTTGACCCATAATGGGCGGTTTTCTGCTCTCATAACATACAATGAATGAGTTAATATATGAAATGTAAAATATACAGCATTTTCCATACGAGTGGTAACATAATACAATACACGATCAAAATGGAAACAAAATGGTCGCAGCCAATTAAATGCAACGATTTCAGTAGCTTATAACAGTTATTGTAACTTGTAACAGTTATTGTAACTTGTAACAGTTATTGTAACTTGTAACAAGTTCAATAAAACGGATGTGACGTGGGGATGACGTATGGTTCTATTGAATGTGTAAATACCTTCGGTTCAAAGTTGGTTCTCATTCTTGTCTTGTTTGTTTATAGTTCGATGAACTATAAGGTGATTCCATGCATTGTGTTCCTTTCGACTTTGAACATTTATCCAATTATTTCATTTACAAATAAAAATATCTTGATATGACTTTTGACCATTAGCTCTTTCTGGTATCATCACGTTTATGAAATGGTCATATCTAGATGTTTTTTTTTAATTTTTGAATGAAATAAATGGGAAAGGCATTTAGGAGACACACTATTTAAAATTGCCCTACACAGGTTTTCATTGGTCAATTCTAGATTATTTACTAATATATATACATTTGTTTTTACTGCTTGATTGTTTCGTACGTTGAAGCAACAATGGTTAATTTTTTCAATTTAACAGTTAGACCTACTGTATTTTGGATTCTTGATTAGGATGGATCTTCTACTGCGATGCCTCCACCACGAAACAATTTTAAAAATTTGAACATACATGTCCTGAGTTTGATATTAATCCTTCCGTCGGTTCTATTGATCAATTGACAATTTTTGTATAAATGAGCCCCCAAGACCTTTGACCTTTGACCTAATGACCCCGAAATCTAATCAGTTCATTGAATCGTAGAGGTGTTGTGGATGAGTGGATACGTCGCCGGACTGTCGATCACAAGGTCCGCGGTTCGAGTCCCGCCGCGGCACTAATGTCCTTTGGCAAGACATTGATCTACATTTGCCACTCTCCACCCAGGTGTTAAATGGGTACCGGTAGGAAGGAATTCCTTAAAATGCTGTGAGCGTCGAAATCGGCAGCCTAGCATAGCCGGGTAATGTTGGAGCGCCTTGAGGACCTTTGCAAGGTCGATACGTGCGCTATATAAGAATCCAATATTATTATTATTATTATTATTAATCTGCAAGATACATACATGACCCAAGTTTGGCGGTAATCCATCAATCGGTTCTTGAGATAACGCTATCACGAGCTATTTTTGCATACATAATGAGCCCTGTGACATTTGACCTTTGACCTCGTGACCCCAAAATCTAATCAGCTCATTGGATCTGCAAGATAGATACACGACCTAAGTTTGGCGGGAATCAATCAATCAGTTCTTGGGATAACGCGATCACGAGAACGTGACGTATGGAAGGACGGACAACCCAAACACATAATGCCTTCGGCTACTTTGTAGCGGAGGGATCACAAATTAAATGACTTCAAATAACTAAATTTACAATGTGTGTTTTTTTCTGATAACATCAGCATGGCATGAGAAATAACGTCAAGAGAAGGTGTAGTTGATTTCTACTTCAGTTAATGTTCGACGGTATACATGTCGACAGTTGGTAATGAAATGCCGAACATCTTAAATATGAAAAGTGAATGAGAGGACTATCGGAGAAGGGAAATAAAGTTGTCTACGATAATATTAGGACAGCCTGTATGCTCACTAAATGCTATCAAGTTTCAATTCTAATGCAAATTATTCAGGTCGAAATTCGCCATGTTATTAGCTTCTTCAGACCAAGCTGGATATTGCGCCCCGTCCATCTCTGACGCAACCCTATTGCCCTCTGTCAGTCGGTGTTGGGTGCCCCCAATTCCTTGACCACATTCAGGGCACTTGCCCGTCTCTGTGGCCCCACCACATTCCCCGATGGCGTAGACATGCCCTCTGGGGCATTTTAACCAATGACCTTTGGCCAGACCTATGGCGGCGACTATCTCCTTCCTCTCTTTCTCGCTAATTCCCAACCCACCAGACTTGTAATCGATCTTCTTGAGTAGATCGTTGATTTCATTTGCTCGTTGGGCAGTCATAGCCTTTCCGTCAAAGAGTTGAAGCTCTGCGGCCTTGACCTCTTCGCTGGCTTTGTCACGAGCAGCTGGTTTCTTGACCAGGATCTTGAAAAGATTCAAGGCTAAGTGGAACCTCTTCGCTTCTCTGTTGGCGTCATCGGTCTGCTGTTGGGACATCCTGTTGATGGGCTCCTTGCACAACCAAGTCTGCATGACAACTATCTCATTCTTCATCTGCTTAACGTACTGCTGATTTAGGGATGGAGATCGCAGCGATTGCAATTCTTTAGCCAGGTCTATCATTTCCTCCTGAAAGCGGACTCTGTTTTCCAAAGCGGTGATTTGTCCATGGCTCAACGCAAGCGTCGAACTGACCATGGTTTCGAATAATAGGAACAGTTGCTGATCCCTTGCTATGGCACACACCACTTCTCGATGAATTCTTTCTTGTAGGTTCTGACGGAGATTTTGGATTGTCCTTTCGTTGCCGAAGATTCTTCTTTTAACCGCATTTATATCATCCAGTGCTTGTTTGATGATGCTTCCATATCGCAGATTGCGTCTGATCGGTGTTTTGCACCATGGACACACTTTCAGCTGTCAAAGGAATTAAAAAAAGTTCAGAAATGGCTTACATATCATTTTCCTTTCAATTCTTTTTTAATGGAACACGTACGTTTTGAAAAATGGGTCGAGATTCCCATCGTTATGTTCAAATTCGTTGTACTTCTTCTTTCTTTTTTTTATTATTGGAGCAATGAAAAACGTTTGATTTGATAACGTGGAAATATCTTAAACAATAAAGAAGCAACCTCTAATTAGTCAAAAATTGTGTCGGAAAAGAAATGAAAAGACGTCACAAATTCCATTTTATCAAAACAGCAAACAGGAGTAATAAGTAACAAAAGAAGTGAATTGTTTTCCACCGCGTTCTTAATGCAAGTGTTTACAGAATAGTAAAACAAAATATTCACGACAAATAATTCTTGATACCTTAATGGAGGTCGCCTCTGACGTGTCCTTGCTTCCACTATCCGTCTTCATCCATTGGTCCAGGGCATTCGCTTCAATCAAGTGCTTACAGTCCTCTAACTCCACAAACCTGAACAGGAGAGATGATATAGACGTAACGTCTTATTTACGTGACTGATCTACTTCCATTTATCTGTCGACACTTGAGAAAAAAAATTATTTTTAAATCGTTGAAATCTGTAATTTGATGGTGCACGAAATTATAGAGTAAAGGTAAGATTTTTATATCATATCGTCATCGTAATTATCATTTTTTTCTTTTTTTTCTTTTTTGTTTGTTTATCGAAACTGTCAAGCAATTGCACTCCATTCTTTGAATAAGCATTTCATCCTCTTCATTACGTAAGTAAACTTTATCACAAGATATTTTATACGTTTCTTCTATATACGAACATAAATCTAAAGACATATGACATATTTAGGACCTAACCTCCTTAAAATCTCTTTTTTTAATGTATTTGTGAAAAATAAAAATAAATCTTACCGAGCATCATCGTCGTCTTCATCGCCAAAGAGGATGCTGGTAACTTCCTCCTTATCACAGATTCTGCACTTCTTGGGGCATGGTTCACCACAGAGTCCGATGCAAGGGTGGCCACACTTCAGCATGAGTGTACAAGGGTCATGACAAGCACGTCTGTCGCATGGTTTTCCACATTGTGCCCCACAGCGAAAATGTCGACATCGCCAGATGCATCTCTCTGCACACGGAACACAAGGTTCTCCACAATTTTTCTTGCATTTGCTATGTTGACATCTGTTTTCGCACTTCCTTGAGCACGGTGGACAATCCGCAGCACATGTCGACCGGCAAGGGTGACCGCAAACGAGTGTACGATCACATTTTTCTCGGCAGAATGCATGAAGACGTCCTTGGTGGCACTTGCCGCATGAACCCTTGCACGGATGTTCACAACTCAGAATCTCATTACATGGTTTCGAACAGGAGTCAGGACCAGCAGAGCATTTGGCGAGGACATTATGGCCACAAGGCCAGTCATAATGACGAATCATTTCCTGGCAGACCACTGTACAGCCCTTTCCACATAGCTCCTTGCATTGATGCCCGCAATCCAGTCTCCTGCGGCATGGAGATTCGCAGATTACTTCTGAGCTGCTTTTGTAGCAAGGCACTTTCTGGATGTGACCGCAAGGCAGTGTCTTGTCGACAGGTTTTTTGCACTGCGTGTCACAAGGCTGGTAGCACTGTTTCATGCATCGATGACCTAAGGTGCAAATTGTCTGAGTGCACTTTTGACGGCACTTGTAGTTTTCATGTTTCATGTCGGCAGGGTGGCATGGCATTCGACAAACATGACCACAGATAAGACGTGCCTCACATGGTACGGAACAACCACCTTCTGGGACCTTTGAGAAATCCGCTTCATTTGAAACCTCATTTTGTGTCTCAGTGTGATTTCTGCACTGGAGCTTAAGGGATTTTCCGATGGTGCCGTAGATTTCAGCATCCTTCACGATTTCCCTCCACAAGCTTGGCCCAGTTGGGTTTTGTTGTGCGAGGAGTTTGAAATTTCCGATGCAGTACAGACCCTTTCTTGCTCTCGAGAGCGCTACGCAGATTCTGTTGTCGATCTTCAAGAAGCCAGCACTTCCCTGCTTATTGCTGCGAACGAGAGAGAGTAGAATTATGTCGTTTTCCTCTCCCTGGAAGTTGTCAACTGTAGCAACTCTGACACCTTCAAAGTCACTCTTTTTCATCAACCTCTTAAAGGCAAAGAGTTGACCGGAATAGGTAGTCAAGATCGTGATCTGCTCTGGAAGGTAGCCCTGCTGCAAGAAGTACCTGCAAAGTCCTACCAAGAACCTTGCCTCGTGAATGTTGGAGTGACTCTTCATTTCATCCACAGAATCTTCTTCCATTTCATGATGAAGGAAGAAGATGTTCTTCATAACCCCGAGGATATCGTCGAACTTCTTCACAGAGACGTCATCTAGAAGATATGGGTACAATCTTTCCATCCTCATGAGTCGAGAAATTTCAGGCCTCATTCTATGTTGTAGAACCAGTCGCTGATAAGGTACATCATTGTTGATCATACGTTCAAACAGAGATATGTCCAAGTTATACTGCGTAGCTAATTTGAAGACCGTAGGACTTGGCCGAAGTTGTTGGTGATCTCCGATCAATATCAGATGTTGACATGATTCAGTCAATGCAGTCACAATATGGGCTTCTAGGACCTCTGCAGCTTCCTCGACCACCATAATCCTCGGTTGGATTCTCTGAAGTAGCATATGGAACTTTGCAGCTCCAGTTGTTGTCATTCCAACGACCGAGGCATTTTTGAGGATTTCAAAATCTTCTTGACTGCGTGCCTCGCGAAGCTCCTGACAAACATTTGTGAATTGCCGTTGCATATCCACGAGCTGACGAAGAGATTCATGGCGATGTAAATGAGCCCAATAGCGGTATAACCTCCATCGGTTTCCTTCTTCAAGGCCCCAAACGTTCCTAACGGTGTTTGCCTCTCGGTCAGACATTCTTTCATTACTCTTGAGCTTTCTCTCCAAGTTGTGCTTCCTATTTCTGAGCTGCCGTCGGTCTTGTTGCCACCCTCCCGCTTCCAAGTTGTCAAGGTCGTTAAGTCGGAAAGCCAAAGTGTCATCATCGAAGTTGGCATTCGCATCGCCTGTGAATACTCTATTTCGTTGGTCGTCAACGTCCAGGCGCCTCATCTCGTCAAGGAGATCCGCCTCCTCTAAGATATCAAGCTCTTCTTCTCCTTCGTCATTTTCGTCTTCATTTTGTGGTCCGTTATCTTCAGGAACATCAAGCTCCTCAGGTGGAGGTCTCATCTGAATATCACCAAGGAGCCAATGGACGATAAGGGACTGGCCACCTACTGCATAGACATTCCCTTGGTTGAGGCTTCTTTCTTGTGCGTCAGTCATGTGCTTCATGAGTACTCTTTCATGAAGTAGTCCCTTTCTCGTATGGTTAATCTTGTCCTGAAGGCCTTTGACTTCTCTCCCGAGACCTTCGATTTCGCCACGAACCTCTCCGATTCTACGTCTCACGTGTCGAGGTGTCTCTTCTCGAAGCTTTGAGCTCCTGAGTGAATTGAGGTTGAACCGCTTCAGAGCCTCGCTAGAACTTCGACCACCAACTCTCACGATACCTTCACTGTTATAATCTGCAACTCCTTCCAGAAACTGATCTAAAGCATGGTTTGTATAGCAGACGAGTAGGATTGGTTTGTTCGAACGACCTGCGTGTCCGGCCAGTCCTAGAACTTGAGCTTCTTTCCAAATACGCTTGTTATCGAGAAGAGTGTGAACTATCTTCAACCCGATGTAAGTTTTTCCAGTACCAGGTGGGCCTTGTATGACCGTCATCTCTTGAGTAAGTGCTGCTTGCACGGCTCGAAGCTGGGATTCGTCAAGACCAGTGTTCCCTAGTCTTGTCCATTCACGACCATCGAGAATCCTCACGGTCTTCATACGCATTGCTGTGTGCTTTGCGTTTGGAACTTTATCAGAGACGATGGATGATAAGTCATATTCAATGGAGCGATCGTTCCGGATGTAGGCAGGTGGACTAGTTTTTGTTGATGCTGATATGATGTAATCAGTTAGGGGCATTGACTGCTCAGTGACATTTTTGATGCGGCTCAGGACATGCCGGTAAGCTTCGAAGTATGCTGAAGATTCTGCCATGATGAATGTCTTTTCAGTGAAGATCTCTGCAATTTCCTCGTCCCTCTCGAGCTTGATTTCAATGAAGCCTTTAGCCAAATCCTCAGGCTTTCGGTTTGCAACTGTGCCGAAGATGAGGGTCTTGAAATCATCAGGTGACAAGATGACGAGTGAACCATAGATCAGCCGCTTCGACGATTGCCAACGAACGCCTTTGACTTTAGTCTCATCGAAGTGAATCCTGAACGTAACTCCACTTTGTGAGTACAGTGGTTCGTCTAGTGTTACATCATAGTATAGACGAATGTCTTGGAAGCGTTTGTCACGTTTCTCTGGTCGAGCTGTTGCTATTTTATACTCACTAATGCCTTCTCTAAGTGGGCGGACAAAGTCTTCTCGGAGAAGACGAAATTGAACGTCAAGATAATGTTCGACACTTTCATACTTTCCCTTTTTAATGTTTGGTCGAAGGTAAGGACGCAGGGAATTATCTGTCAGTTCATTAGAGGTTGGAAACACACTGAGCTCACGGAAATTATCTGGAGGAGGTGTTGCGGGTTCGATATCCGTACGTGTCTTCTTTAGCTTTTCCTGTTGGATTGTCTCATGAAATTTCACAAGTTGGCGTACCTCTTCTTGAATTGTCTCATCCACAAGTATGTTCCTCTTCTCTGTGTATCTGACAGCATCTTCAAGGAGTGTCACAGCAACTTCAACATCTGTCAAGTACCTTGGAAGGCGTTGCTGTAGCTGTGACAGGACAATTGCGATATCCTTAATGCATCTAGGCATGACCCGTAGTTTGACGTTGCTTTTCTCGGTCCTCATCGCAATAAGATGGCGGGTGAGATGTCTGTTGATGAAGTTGTTCCTTCCGAGCATATATAGCAGCATGTTGATAGTTTCATTGGACACCTGCGCCTGGCAGACATGGTGATAGACCTGAAACAACAGCGATATCAGGTCATAGCGTATATCCGTCATTTCTAGAAGCTTGCCCAGACCTTGCTTGAGAGAACCTAACTCTTGTACTGCGTCGTCGGGGTCTTTTGACAGGAGCTGTTCTAGTGTTTTATAGCCTAAAGGATGAAGCACACGAGGACCCCTTGCTTGGTTGTGGTGAGGTCCGCCGCGCCGATTCCTACATTTTTGAAATTTGATAAAGAGCCAACACAGGTAATCTTCAAAGTTTATATTCTACGTAATTAGAAGGGAAAAAAGTCAATTGTATATCCTCTCAAAAAGATGTTGGTTTATGAGAAAAAATTAGTCGTTTATTCATATTTTAATTCTATTCAAAGTGCAAACTTCTCACTACTATTGTTTTAATATTGCTATTTATTAAAAAATGTGTGAACAACCTCACCTTGTTCTTTGAACTTAGCTTCTTGTTCTTATCCCGTTTCTCCCGTTCCTTAACAGTCTCATACGTGGTGTACCAAAACAAATGCGAAGAGATATCAATTGGCAACATATCAAAAGTACATAGCCATCCTCATGGAATTTCATAAGCTATACTGTAGCAGTGTCTCCTGAACCCGATGTGAATTTCACAAGGATTTATGGTACGACTGCAAAGTTGTGTTTGTTTTGGTAAAACACACCAATTTCCAAATGTTACAATAAACGTATACATTTCGCGTCTGCAAGTCAGTCTAACTCATAATCTCATGATAAAATCACCAATGAAGCATTCCAGATTTAAAATATAGTAACAAAAGAAAATATTCCAAGAAGTTTTTGGTGCAAACAATCTTCAGCTTAATCATATTTCGATCACTATGACGTGAGCAGTGACCGTAATGCTTGCATAAATTACATTAATTATAAATCTATTGACACCCCTTTTTGTAATGAGAATTGAAGTTATTTAGAGAGCTAGCCAAGAAATGTTCAGGAACAATTTGCACTTGTGCAATTCAACGCGCTAAACTTCTAACAGTTACAAATGGGTTCACTTCACAAAAATGATAACAACTTTGTAACATTGGACCCTTGTGATATTCATGCAAATATTATTAGATATTACTACAATATTACCTAAGACGTTTCGCTGAGAATGGATGAGCACTTCTTGAATATATTTCCAATCAAATTCTCGTTGCATTTCTTTTTTGTTGTAATACTCCATATGCAAGTCCACATTTGTACAGTACAGTCAGTGAATTTCTTTTGAAACTTTGAACTCGGGACATTACTTGTGAGGCATAAGAATTATTTTACTCAGCACTCTGAGTTTCAAGTTAGTCACACAAATGGATAGCATGCCGTATGAAATGATGCAACATTACATATTATCCCATATAGACCTATATTTTCTATAAACATTTGATCATTTCAGAAAAAATTAACACTGCAAAGAAATAATCAATAATATGCTTTGGTTACACAAAGTATCGCAAACGTTAAGTTTATTTCTGTGACGTGCATGGAATAACAATGTCCACAATTGTCCCATAAGTTCTTTATGAAATCATCGTCATTTTATAAGGTCTATGGTTTATGCTTTATTTACACCTCAGTCAAACCGTTCGCAACCGACTTTAAACAATTAAATTCATGACCACTCAGTGTAGTTTGCTTTCTATATGCGTCTATCATAGTTTTGTTGTTCTATTGTTCTTCTGGAGTCGGTCTTGTCAGTGTAATTAAGGTATCAGAGGTCATTTAAAATAGCGGCTCACCTATTTCCCTGAGCTCCAGCATCGTCATGTTCCTGTTCTTCTCCTCTTGGACGGTTGCCTATTCCTCCTCCCCTTGCTCCCCTTTCTCCCCCTCTCCAATGGCGGTCTCCTCCCTCTTCCTCTCTATCCCTCCTCCACCCCCCTGCTCCACGGTCACCTCCTCTGCCACCCCTTCCGTCTCTCCTTCCTCCTCTTTCTTCCATTCTCCCATCTCGACGTCCTCCATGTTCGTCCCTGTCTCTCCATCCTCCCCTGTCATCTCCTCCTCCACCCCTTCCTCGTCCTCCCCGGTAGCCTCCTCGACCCCCTCTTCCTCTGCCACCTTGGTAGCCGACTCGATGTCCACCTCTCTCACGGTCCATCCTTTAAGGTGTGTTCTTCACCTTACGTCTTCTAGGGTAAAACATAAGCAACAGTATGATTTACCGAGGTAAGATTACCACTTGGTATATATATATATATATATATATTGTTTTATAGAAATAATAACATCATATTCAATGCATACCCGTTGGCCTATTTCATTATCAAATAAAGTTTAGGTTAACACCTTATGTTTATGTTTACA